GTATATTTGAAAAACAGAGAAGAAAATTAACATTGTTTTAAGCTGTTATTTCAAAGACAATAGATGGAAAATACAGCATTATCCTTGAAGGAGCATGACCAATTTTTGCATCATGTTCCATACACAGAACATCATTGAAACGTAAATTACTTTTTTTCAATGTTTTGACAGGAAAAATGAGGGGAAATTTCTATCTTCTCAATCAATGTTTTTTGGATGTTTGGTGGAGGAAAATGGGAAAATGCCTGCAGTGTATGCAATTCCAGACCTTCACGCTGTAGGATATAATCTGGCTCGCTAGATACTTGCACTTCACTTCACTTTCCTTGCTACGAGTCATAGTTTGTAGAGTCACTTCAGATAGTTGTACTTCACGCAATCAATCTTTTTGTTCATTCAGAACAATTTTTTGGCCTGACCACTGCCAATTCATGTCTTGCTGTCTCTTAGTTCTTCTGATAGGCTTTGTTAGTCATACTTTGGTACTTCTGCTAGTCTTATACTTCGACACACTTTGACAAACCTGCCGCATTTCTCTCTCAGAACCTTCGCTGTTCGCTGGACGTTCTTTGGACGCTTCGCGCAACCTCGGACCTTTGTTTCTTGATGTCAGACCACCTTCAGACACTTCGGATGCACCTTCGGAAACACAGAACACATTTTAGGTATCTTTCCTGTTCTCATCTTCGATCTTAACAAGACATCCCTTGCATTTTATATCAAGAGATAGTTCTATAGGCAGTCTCTTTGGGACGAGCATCACACTCGCACATTGAGATTCTAAGGTAACACTATTTGTAGCGCCTACACAGAATCAACTCTTTACACTGTCCGCCTCATGCGTTGATGGACTCAGAGGCCGAAGCGCCTCATGTACTTATCTTGACACAGAAGACCTGCTTCATGGCATCTTATCTCTGACTCAGATAGATTCATAGATACAGACTCCTCCTGAACCTTATAGGATAGATTTATATAGCTTAGACACATATCATAGTATTCCTTACTTTGATATACTTGGTATCATCTAGAAACTAGTACAATCCCAGTACTTGGTATTTCCTTGAAACATCCTTTCAGTGTGACCTCCAGTCCCACTGTCTTGACCGCACTTCTAAGGCAAGCCAACACTACCTTAGCTGTACATCTGTTAGCCCTACAGCTTGATGAGCCGCCGCACTTACCAAGCTTGTTGGAGGATACCTTGGGCTTCATCCGAGCTTAGAACCTGTCCTTCTGTCTATGCGTGACTGCTAGACGATTAGCCATTCGGCTAGAGAAGGCTTGACCTATCCAAGTCGTAACAAGCCCCACTAGGTGCGTAGTTGATTATTTCGCATATTAATCATGTTGCAGCAAGCACTATTACATGTTTTCCCATAGTCCGCAGTGCCTCATGTTTATTTACATGTACTTCGGACCCGAAGTATTCTGCAGCTACTTTCACCTACGGGTTCCGCATTTCTATGTACTTACATATATATTGGACTGACCTCAAGCATTATTCATCATCCAAGTAGTGGGGAGCTGTTCCCCGATGCTTTGTGGTCAAACCCGATATTTCGTAGTTCTTAGTTGACATTGCAAATATTACTGCTCTTTCTATCTGAAATACCCGTCATTATCAATAATCCGCATACCACTCACTTTCCCAACATTTGCTGTAGGACTTGGAGTCCTTGTAGCCTCGTAGAGGTCATTTTTGCAGCACCCCTTAGGTTCCCATGCTGTGCACATTTGGCACGTGTCCTTTTCATCATTGGAGACGGCTGCAGCTCGCATGCACATATCGGCTCGCATCCGCCTTTCTTTGGCTCCATTGCATATTGTTCCTCCGTCCTATCCATGTCCTCCACTTGTCCATTGGTGTGTACCTTATCTCATTTATGTTAGACTGACCATATCTCCAAAGCTATATTGCTTATATTCACGATACTTGCGTTATGGACCCTTTTTACATATTACCGCTACCTACTCGGCTCCGAGCAGCGCTTAGCGTGCTATCATATATACTCAGTACTTATGACTTTTCATGTAGATTCTTTCCCCATCAAAATTATCATCTGTTTGCACGCAGCACTCTGACTGAAAATCTGAACCTTCGGCTTACTACTGCGCGCACTTCGCTAACGGCAGCGCTAACTGTCACACTTCATCCATCGCACATATCACTAAAACTCTCCTCCTGTTTCACTGTCGTGTCGTGTTGCCTTCGTGTACCGCAAAAGCCTTCTCACATATCCTTCAGCTTTTCCTCGTGCTTTCGTGCTTCATCAAACTTTTGGTCGCTCAGTCGCGCATTGTATTGTACTTTCAGCGGCTCGCTCGTGCTAGCATCACGTTGGCGCAACTTTCTGTGTTCCCTCTATTCTCAGTTACTCTTACTAGTTTCAAAGTTTCCCCTCCATATTTTACTTAGAGGAATCATTCTCAGTAACAATCCCCTTGGGCCGAATCTATACTCGCATCCAGAGGTCTATTTGAGTTTTACCCCACTTCACCCTTTCTTCCCCTTTCACCCCTTCTCATCTAGCTATCATTCCTCACACATCACTATCACTATTCTCCACAGTCCGCTGAACCCGCTGTAGAGACTCGTGCCTCTCATTGCGTGATATGGCAGTTTCACTAGGGAGTACATGGCACGAACTTACAGCATCACTCTGTATGCTGTCCGCAGCTATTCCTATATGAGGCGCAGCTTTCCCGCGCTTGAGCGCCCTATAGCGCCAGTCATCCGGAAGCATCCATCCACTGTCCACCAAGCCCTCTAGTACGTATATTCCCATTTCTCTTAATTGCATATCATTCCACCTTTATTTTGGACCCTTACTTACATATAGCTTTACATACCTTACTCGGTAGCGCTTCGGCTCCGCATGACAGCGCTTAGGCGCCATATAAGCGCCAGCATTACATACTATAACTCACTTTCCAACTTTCCAACCTACCTCCCACTTACCCACTTACTACCTAGCAGAGTATAGTTGCAATCTATTCCTTGGCACCTCGCACTCACATCTCTTGTCTTGCATCATATCACCACTTAAGCAAACTCACACTTACTCTCACTTGTTTCCGCTCACGCGCGCGCGCGCTTCCCGCGCCTCGCGCGTACCTTCGCTTTCCCGCGCCTTCTCATGCTTCACATTGGCCAACCAGTAGCACCTTCAACGCCTACTACCAGATCCTTGCTGCACTCGCTTCCCCTTTAGGGTCGAACGCACTTGTCGTCTCAGGTATAGCAGACTAGGCAATGTGCGACCTTACAACATTTACAGATACAGTTTGGAGCATCATTTGTTCCTCTCAGTATTGTTGTTTCTACACCGCACCCAAAACCCGCTAGTCTGCTAACCCGAAAACATCGGACCCGACACTTTGGCATCGGACTTGTGATTATACCTTCGGACTTTGTTTCCCATGCTTGGACTTTTGAACACTTATCATTTCACTACCTTCAGACTAATACCAGATAGCTAACCCCTCAGGTCGAACACACTTGTCTTGCAAGTATAGCAGACTAGGCCATGCAAGACCACAACATTTTATATTGCTGGTTACTTACTTCATGTAGTGACCAGCTATTGTTGTCTCATTACAGTGTTGATTGGGAGACTCGAAGGACATATCAACTGCCTGGGCAATGGTTAGCCCACCACAAATATTCAGTGAGATGAGACCTCACCTGACATAGATTGCATAGACGATTGAGCATAACATAAACCAAATCTGAGCGGGTTGGCTCATCGAGCAGGAGTTCGACTGTAGGGAGCTTTATAGGCTCACCTGTGTCTCCTTGGAACCAATCGTTTTCATTACCTATCACAATGGTATTCCTAAAATTTGAACATTGTTGGTTTGATGCACAGATGGAGCGCACAAGATTTCTGGCCCATTCGAGAGCTTTATCGGTGATGGCGCCAACATACTCATTCTTGTCGATGATTTGACCACAAACATTCCAGGTATTCTCCACAGATGAGAAATCCGCTGTCATGTAGTTGTCAACAATATGTTTCACACATATGTTGATCATGTGCGGAAAACAAGAGATTCTGTTTGTGATTGGATTATATTTGATCTTGCATTCTTTGAGTAAGTTTGAGAGCTCCTTCATGCATGTTTGATTGTTTGCTGCATTGTCCAAAGTGAAGTGTCCAGGCTAAACAAAGTCAGAGCACATCATACGGTACAGCTGAACACTCACAGCACAATCGAGGAGATGCAGTATTACTGAACTGAGAGATTTGCCAGTATGACTTCCTGGAACATGGTGAAATGCAATCAAGGCTGCCTTCAAGACGAGCACTGATGTCTGCTCTTCCTTGGCAATCCAGTGAGCAGTGAGTGCCATGAAGGGGCGGAGCTTCTGATCAGACCAGAGGTCAGATGTAAAGGATATTTTTCCTTGCACCCTCTGTAAGAATACATAAGATGTATGGCAGGATTCTCGATAACTAGACACTCATGGCAAGATCACCTTTCAACACCTGGAAATACACCTGCCACACAACAATTATGAGCTCACAAAGTTTTGTGCAGTGGGGAATGTCTGAATCGGTCAAATCCTTCTGCAAAAAATGTATCAGGTGTCGAAACTCCACACATTCAATAATGTTTATTGCCTGCAGAAAATGAATTAGCAAGGGCACGTAGAAAGTAAATATCAACTTGCCTGATTGTCCGCAACTATGAATTTCACCAACTGACAGTGCATCTCATTGATGCTGAAATCTGGGATATAATTGTCTGGAAATAAGGTGGTTCCAGGCAGAAAATTTCCATGTCCCTGATTAGGGATGGTATCAAGTGACTCAATGTGATACACAGGGTCCCGGAGCCTTTCACGGATAGCTGCCAAAGTCCACCCTTCAGCAAGTCACTTATTGAGTGGCTGTACATAGATAGGCCAGTGTAGGTGCTCCGCCTCTTGCAGGAAAACGTCAGTGTGGTGATAGAAAGCATGAGTACGATGGGCAGAAGTGCCGGTTGAGTGCTTATACGACATAACCTGGTGTGAACTGTCCACCTTCTGCAACTCCCTGGACAAGGCCGTAAGAAAGAATGAAATAATTGCAGATGCAAAAATCACTCACAGATTCGGCAAATCTTGTGTTTAGTAGCTGAATCTTCCCTAAAGAAGTAATTTATATCAGCAGTGCTTTTAGGCTGCATTCCTTGGACACCTGTAGCCAAGAGATCGACTTGGGTGAAGTAGATGGTACTAGTAACTGTCTGCAGAGGGCTGGGAACTGAAGGAGCCCTAATGCTGGGTGCAGGCAAGTTATCTTCTTCATCCCCAGAGACATTGCCAATGTCAATGTATTCTCCATCATCTGGTGTGCAACTAGTGCCAGTACGAACTGGGCTATTATTGTGGAACCTCAGAGGCAGTTGCCATTGCCTTTGGGGGTGTTGAAGCATAGTTGCATTCAATGCAACAGTGGCAGCAATGGGCACAACAGTAGCAGCAATGGGCACAACAGTGGCAGCAATGGGCACAATAGTGGCAGCAATGGGGGTAATGATGGAGGTAGCATCAATTGGAGCAGCAGCAGTAGAAGTTACAGCAGCATGAGTAGGTACAGTGGTAACTTGAGACTTCTGCCCTTGTTGACAAGGAGGCATGTTTGAGTGACAGTAAAGATTCAAAGACACAGTCTTTATGTATCTTCGTCAAGGGAAATAGCGGAGAAACACCAGTGCTGAGTCAACTAATGACAAGTCCAACGTGTATGCACAAGCAAAGGTCTGAACAACATTATTAATTGTGATATGACACCAGGGGGACAACTGAACATATGTCCAGGGTACGTACCGTAAGATCTTGTTCATTCGAGTGGTCCTAGGCAGCACAATATATGTGTGGGGTATTTCCAATGTCCACTACCTTACCCAATGAGAGGGATACCAATACCATAAGATGTGTGTTCTGATGTACCCTAGATCTCGCGATCAGTTGGTTATATTGAGCACAGTAAAGCTTACCTACATCCTCAGAGTCAACTGGCTGTCCAGAAGCCAGATTGCAATATAGCAAGGACATCCAGTGAAAGGGACATCTCACGTTTGCAGAGGGTTTGCCATGGTTGTCAGGGTGGGTGGTTTGACAGTTACTGAACACATGTTTCAAATACCAACCAATGAGTCAAGCGAGTTAATGCTTACCTTCATTCCAGGAGTCAATGACTGATTGATTGAGCATTTAATTGTGATACAGTGCAAGGGGATTGGGGTGTTTGTGGAAAATCTCTCATGTGTCATCCAGGAGGTTGGAGTGATATGATTCAATAAGGCAAAACTGGTAGATGTTGGGACTCAGGCTTCAGGAGTAAGGTACAGGTATCCAGGACAAGTTTGTTTCTGTAGCAGGCCAACCGATTTGCAGAAAAACAGCACTTGCAAGTTGCAAGGAGGATAGGCAAGGAGATGGTAGGGTGAGAAAAAGATAAGAAGCTGCATGACTCAGCATGGAGTTGGCCCTCGGGAGTCGGGAATCAGGCCTAGGATTCAAGATGATCAAATTTGTCAACATGTATTTGACCACATTGAACAGTTTGAAACCTATGAGAAACACATTGTAGACTTGTACACTGTACAGTTATGTAGAGATAGAAAGACATATGCAACAGCGTGATCTAGCAACTAATGGCTTTTCCTGCAGTGCAGTTGGGTGCATGGGAGAGGCATTACGTTGGTGTAAACTTCGAAATCACATTCGCTTCAGATTGTGAATGGGAAAATGAGACAGAATACTCACACACAAGTAGATCTGCGAAGTGGTGTTGCATCCAGTAGACATGAGGCCGGCTTGGCCATCCAGTGTTCATTGGAGATTGGAGGGTGATGTGTGATGTGATTATCAGGCATGCTGAAATCCAGCGAGCATGTAGATGGCGCAGCCAAGGTGGCTTGAAGACCACAAAGCAATGAACAAAGATGCCCATATTCAGGGTCTTCCGAGAATGCAAGAGAGCGCATGTAGATGAGAACACTTGCAAATTCGATGGGAATTCCATCGCATAATTCAATGGTGGTGTTGACCTTGCACTCAAGTATGGAAGAGCTGGAGAGTTTCTTGTAGTCACTAGTTAACCATGGAAGGGAGCTGCGTAACAGATAGATCAACATGTATGTAAGCGATTCAAGGTTGTCACAACGACCTGGGTCAACTCCTAAGTGGTTGTTGATTGAAGCGAAGGCAGGAGTGCCAGTGAGACATTGATTCTGACGAAAGAGAATATGGACTCTGGTTGCAGTGTCCCAGTATTCCTTCGCAATACCGAAATCGATTATAAATGCAGTGTGCTTCAAATGGTCAAGGCCCACCAAGACATTCTGTGGTTTGATATCACAGTGAACATAATTGTTTGAGTGGATGTACTCAAGACATGAGAGCTGGAAAATGGATTAGCCTATCTGCAACAACCCAGCACAAACCGACTGACCAGTTGGATTCCTAGATTGACAACAGTATGAAGGCTAAATTTTTGATCATGTGCAAGGAAAAGATCATGCAGTGATGGCCCAAGGAGGCTGAGAACCAAAGCATGATATGTTGATTCTCAACCAAACCAGAGAGCACGGGGTATCCCAACTCCACCTTCAAGTCATTTCAGAATGGCGTATTCACGCTGTACAGAAGATGGCTGGGCTGTGATGGATTCGAGTTTGATGGCAACTGCATCATCTTTGATGATGTTCTGAGCGTGGTACACAACAGCTAAGTAGGGTCCATAGTATGTTAATTTTTTATAATTATAGTCAGCTTGTGAACAACACACCATATGAACCAGATCCCAAAACATCTCCGAGTCTGAATCTACTGTCAACTCGTATCGGGACATCAGGAAAAAGGGAAAAAGTCTTAGCCATCTTACCTCACTTACAGAGACTTAATTCGACGTTAAGTTCACTAAGTTGTCAAAGCAAATCATTTCAACTTAATTTCTGCTTGGAGGATTGTTCACAAAGGAAACACAATAATAGTAAGTAATGAATGGCCAAAATTCAGCACGGAGGCTGCAGAAAAGCGTGTTCAAGTAAGAAGTTTATTTATAAGTAATCAACACCATGCTGCGATGTAACTAAGTCAATAGGCGCTATGCGAAGTACTTCCTAAGCCGACAAAGTATATAATATGTAGTCCTAATGGTAGCATTATCCAGCCAATAAGAATAAGTCAGTATCAAGTCACCAGGCAATCTCAAATGCCTGATGGTCAATGTATTTATTTACATAGTAAGTGCGGAAAGCATCAAGGGTCTGTGTGTAAGAGAGATAAGTAGGTACAAATTCATGCCCAAATACAGGCATAAGGTGTGCTGCACGAAAAATGCAGTCAAGGTGAATGACGGAGGCAAATCGTGTCCCATCCTCGCGGGTTTCAGGCTCTACTACCCACATTCCTGTGTTCTCATCTGGTGAGTCGTGCACGTGTTTGAACCAATGCACAAATGCACAAGGGTAATGTACACCATTGTGTTTAAATGAAAAGAAAAGCCTTACTTGAGCGATATCGAAGCCACGCATACCCTCGACAGTGGGATCAGTACTAATGAAAACACAGTCATATCGACCAGGGCCGTTCCTCCAGGTATCCACGGCACGAATTCGCTCGTAGCGCATACCGCCGATGCCTGAGACATCACTGGGAGCGAAGAAGGTGGCAATGGCAGATGTATACAGAGTTATTTTTTCATGTAGTTCGGGAAGGGCACTGGACGAGCCAGCGCCAGACTCGGAGGCTTCTGAGTTGGAGTCAGAACAATGGAGCTGGTCATGTAAAAATTGCTGAATATGAGTGGTGAGTTCCGGTTCACCAATTTGATCTGCGAGGAGGTCTGCGTAGATCCGTTTTGCTAAAAATTTGTTGTAAGTAAAAAGCACGCCAGGTAAATGTACTACTCCACTCACCAGATTTCTTCGCCAAGTCTACATGAGCTATCACCGTCGGTCCAGCAACAGCGTCACCCTCGAGCTCAGCATCTTGGTCTGCATCAGCCTCCAAGTCGGCATTCACGTGATTGTTGCGTCCGAGATGGGGAATGTCAATCGGCTCGTCCTCGAGCCGGACTTGAATGGCTTCTGCATTGTGCACTGGAGCGTTTAGCCCTGTGTGTGATTTGTGTTAGTAATATTAGTGGTCAAATGCTAGTAGACGTACCGAGTTTATCAAGGATATATGATAGACATGTTCCTGTTAGCATCCCACGGCTAGCAAAGTCAATACGAGACGCCGCTAACTTATCTAGACGTTGATTTGTCAGTAACATCTGATTGAGGGCTTCGAACCGACTGGACCGTCGCCACGGCTCCTTGACAGCCTTGATATGTTTAGATTCCGTGATGGAAGAACAGAGTCCGTTTGGTGCGCCAAACGATCGGATCATTTTGTGGTAGTGGATAAGCGAGTGTTGTCGAGGGAGGTTGAATCCATTAGGGCGAACACCAGATGTTTCAAATATTTCGCGGTGCCTGTGGAAACGCTCGAGTGCATCATCCAACGCATTGAGGCTGTTGGAGTCGATGATATTGCGCCGCGCGATGTACACAAAATCAATTAATGCTTGCAAAGTCAGCACCATCTCCGGAGGTACGTGGCCTTCAATCGCAGGTATATACACCTATAGTAGTAAGAATACACGTTAGTCAACACTACTCGTGATGATGGAACACCCGTTCATCGACTCGAACGTACCTTCATAAGTGCTTTTGAATCATCTCCCGTCCACTGTTTGAAGCCCCTTCCCTCCGGGAATCGTCGAAGGCCCGCAAATGAGGGAGCAAGAGCAATACTAGTTGTAGAGTGCGTCAATACCAGTCATTGCAACCCAGCATGTTGAAAATTGGACTTACCGGTGATCAATATCATCTAATATTATATTCGCCTCGTTTTCCGAGTACCGAGCCTTAATGTATTTGTGGACCCAGGTGACGATATGGTCCTTGAACGCACCCTTTATCAGCTGATGTAAAATGTCGGGGGAGAGGAGTTCGTGAATGTCGGCTCGCGGGAAATAGTTAGTGAATGGCTGTAGAACACATAGTATATTGTAATTTGTCAGCTCGCACAATGACTACAATAATGAAGGTACAAACCACGATGTCTCCTACAAGTCCATATTCGTCCCATAGCACACCTAACTCGAATTCCTCCACCAAGACTTCGGTATGGTCGCGGGAACGCCGACCATAGGTACCATTGTCAAGACCATCAGCCGGAGCAGTACATCTGGATGGATGTGTAGTAAGTAGACAGTACTAGCATAACATGAAGAAATACATACTTTGGGCACCAGTTTTGAACGATGCAAGCGAGCAATGCTTGCTCGGGATAATCGGCGATATATGGTCCAAGGCCATACACCGCACGTCGAAAATGACCATCGGGGGAGCGTACAACCTCGGGTGTTGTCATACCTGGTTTGAGGGATTCCAGCATCTTCGCCAGCGATGAGTGGAGAAGCTGACGGCGGAATTTTCGAAAGTGTGCGTCTTTGGCGGACTCCTTGTCAGCTAAATATATGCATCTAATTAGCGCCAGCAACAGACAACATCAAATTGAAACACGTACTTGTCGGGATGGCTAGGAAGCCCAGCAATACAACACCGTTGCGGTGTGCACG